ATGCTAGAAAATTGATTTATTTTGTTTGAAGACTTAAAACTTTTGCGGACAGCCCAGCTCGTACGAAGTTTTTCGTCTTATGGTATGGGCGGAGGTATGGATGAAGGTAAAATGTTTTTTATTTCATTATTTTAGTTGCATATTTACTTATTGGAAAGTTTTTTGCTAAGTGAGTTGTTGATTTTAGTTCTGCTTTATATATTTTTAGCGACGTAAGGAAATTTTCTTTGGAGTGAGAGTCTTAGTAATAGATGTTTTCTATAAAATTAGATGAGCCAAAAAAATGTTTTATAACAATATGTTATATCATGTGAGAAAATGTAACTTTTTATTTATTCTAAATTCATTTTGTTTTCATTAATCAACATCAATTTCATGACATTTATTTTTTCGTTTCATTTATACTTGATGCAAGGATCTGACAGAAGAAGGGTATTCTCCAATAGAGAGTTTAAACATTTTTATAATCCATTTAGTAGAACTCTACAATGCTAAATTGAATTTTGAAGTTCTATATCATAAAAATAGCTCATTGGAATAACAGTACTTAACCATTCTACTCTTTTATATAAATTTAAAAAATTATTATTATATGATAAAGGCATATAACACATAAATTAACTTCTAAAAAGATAAGGAAACCAAACAGATATAGTCAAATAGATATTTTTCTTAACAATATATTTAAAATAAACACAAGAAAATGAAATATTCCTCAGAAGAGATTCTAACAAATTTAATCAGGTTATAACAGAAGATATGATTGGAAGATATGTATATTTTGAAAGAGTTGAAAACTATGTCAACACGTTACTGCATCGTTTGAGGATTATTGTGACTATTTGGAAGATATATACAAAAATAATGTCTAAAATAGTTCATATAGAAATGTATAAGTGATGAAGAAGGCAACCTAAACAAAATGGAAGAATATGAATAAAGTTCTATCGCATGATATTGTGCAATATATGAAGCATTGATTATAAACATTAGTCCTCGAAGATTAAAAGTTTTAAGATATACCATAAGAAGTGAGTGAGGAATAATATTGAGATAAGAGTGCACCAAGAGTGGAGTTAAATGAAATCATAACATCTCGTAAGCTTTCCTATTACCAAAAATGAAGAAAATTAAATTATTCCAATAAACCTCTAATATTATTATGGAGGTTTAGCATATTTCGCTGTTTTATCTCACTCATCGATTCATCTATATCGAAAAAATATTGTAAACGAGATTTCAGATATTCTCTTCGATTCCGTAATCTTAAAGTAATTCGTTGCTTAATAGCTTTCCGTCTTTTATTTATTAGGAAGAAACTTTCTCTATATGTCATATGGTACGACTATTAAGGACAGTTAATTGGTCCTTATTGATTCTTCTATTCTTAACGTTTAACAAATTGAAGCTTTGTGCGTCCATATGTCTACTAAATTGTTCAATGGTACACACAAATCTCATCCTAACCTATTTATGGGTAAGTCACTTTTGAAAGATATAATCCTTAGATTTACATTCACTCACTTAACTTATTTGTGGGTTAGTCACTGTTGAAAGATATAGTCCTGAGATTTACATAAACTCACTTCCACTGCATAGCTTATTACTTCATCTCTTCATGATATATCACACTTTTCGTTCTTATTTCTCACTAATTAATCCATTTGTTATAGTAGACTGATTGTACTTTTAATCTATTGGTTCTCTCAAGTCTACCGAAGAAAGATAAATAATCACACTTTGTATTTGAATTTTCTTTCATTTAACCCTTTTATCATGGTATCATTTGTAGTACGTTTAATCTATTGGACCACTAAGACTACGAAGAAAGACAACTGATTTTACTTTTTATTGGCATTTCTTATAATTTAAACCTTTTATTATGGATGGAGGGTTGCGTTTTCAATCTAAATATTTCTTGCAGCAAACCCACAATGAAACACGATTCATTCGACTTTTCATTCGTATACCTTATCACTTAACCTATTTATCATGACTTTATCATAAAAGGCTCGTTGTACTTTTAATCTATTGAAACCTCATGAACCCCACGAAGAAAGAAAACTGCTAGGATATAGCCATGTGCAGTTAGGTATCTTTAATTAATCCATTTTTTTTCTTAAAGTATACAATTATTGAAGCTTTAAATTTTTTACAGTTTATATATGTCTCACGCTATTCAAATTGTGTTAACGTCGTACTGATAGGGCAAAAATCCTAAAACTTGATATGGGTTATCTTAACCTAATTTTCACTATTCTTTTAGGTATAGTGCATGGCTTTTTGGCTAATCCCACGAAACCATTTCATACCTTTCATTTTAATTTCTCTCAACGTAGTTCCTTCAAATTAAGAACTTGGTGTTATTTTCAGCACGTTGGCCTACCTACTTGACAATGGGTTATAAAGAACAATTATAACAGATATGGTATAAAAGCAAAAAAAATATATTAGCTAAGTATATTATTTTCAAAGCATTGATAAGTGAACAATTTTTTTTCCAAAGTGGAATTTAAGAAAAATAATTAAAATTGCCCAACTTTTACTCCAATAATGTGAGATCTATTACAATCAAAGTACTTTTAAATTCTATTTAAAGCTTAGTGGTGCTTTGAATAAATTTTCCATGGAATGTTTACTCCATTGCACTTCTGTTGCATTATCAATGGTGTATTATGGCTGAAGTGTACATTATACACAAAAGTCTACAAGTTTTAATGTATTTACAGGTGAGCGTGAAATATTTCAATTTCCGTTTTACGACGAGCTCAACACTCGCATTTGCTGGCATGAATTTTTAATATGAAACAGCGGAGCGCACGATGGACTGATGAGGTTTTCCTCAACAATGTAACATTGAACTTAAACAAAAATATGCAATTTCCGGTTCAGCCAACTAACAATGAGCAGTACAAAGTGTGGTTAAAAAAATTATAGTTAGTAGCTCCAGAGAGTAGCACTTTGGTCATGCCAATAATTGAACTTCCTGTCTGGTTATAATATATTTAGATTTTTTTTTTAGACTTTAGTTGGAAGAACTGGAAGAAATAAATGTTAAAATAAAATAATATGAAGACATTCACCCAAAAGGTCACACTAAGATTAAAGTTCACATTGCAATTACGATAATAAGTAGTGATTAATTCAAAAATGCAGTCTTACCGATTTCACTTTTACAATACCGATTTCAATGTATAATTTGCAAGGCATATTTAAGCACTTCAAGTGCAATCTGAATTCTAAAGCCGTTTCCAATAATTCCCTTTCAACCAAAACTTATCGCAGTAGAACAGAAACTTTCCTACTCAAATGCAAATGACTTGGCATTGCACAAATAAATTGCAGTGACTTTCTGCAACACCACACAGTGCACACCTGACAAAAGGAGTAAAAGTGTGCTGCCTGGCTGGGTTTAGTGTGCCGTGTTCCGTGTTCCCTGCAGCAAGATAAATTCTTCATTATCAAGTGTTGAATTGTTGTAATTGAAAAGCACTAGCAACTGGGGAGAGGATGGAAGGAATGGGAAAGGCATTGTATTTGATCAGTCAGTTCAGAAGTCAGAAGTGTACCTTCACTCTGGCGTTGTGCATCAGACTCGTTGTACATCGATGCGATTTCTGTTGCAAATTTGTTACAATTATTATCCTTTCAAGAGGCAAATTAAAGTGTGCACTGAGTATAATAATCGTAATGGAAAAATCAGTAGGAAATCATCATTTTCCTTCTTACTTAGGATGAAGTCGGAAGTATGAAAATTGCTAAAAATTTGAGTAATGCTTTTTAAGATAAAATACAATATCAGAAGTTATAAATATTACTAAAATTTGAGTAATTTTGGGTACAAAAATAATATAAGTAGGGATTGTTAAGTTATGATTAAGTTTTAATACAAAATTTTAAATCAAAATACTAAGAAACACCTGCTCAATGGATGCGAAGAAAACTGTACTCTAACTCATGTATCAGTGTTCATCATTGAATAGGAGAAAATTCAAAATCTGTGACGCTCCGCTATTTGCTTATATGACAGAGTTTGCGTTCTTTTAAATAAATGACATATTCAATATAATCAATTTATTAGATTGGTTTCTTTTCACTTGAATGGAGGAATCACTCATTCTTAAAAGTATGACGTTCTTGTTTTATACGTTTCAGACCTCTATCTTTATGGTGATCTTTCAAGTCTAGCTTACGTACGCTGTCCCATCCATCAGCAAGCACAGTCCGTGTGAAAGGGGTTACAGTATTCCCTAGGTAATGCATGCTTTTCGTTAGAGGAGACTAAACTCTCGGCACCATCCGACACTGTTTCGAGTGTAAATGGTAGTGAGTAAGTTTTTAGTTGAGGTTGTTAAGAACACCGTGGTGTTAAGCCATCAAAGCAGATTTTTACGTAAATCACTGGTTACGTCATGTTATGTCTCATCCATCACAATTGGCTAAAAAGGAAAGGCTCGAAGAAAAGACATGAATACACCTGTTGTGTCTATGTCGAGATTTGTCTAAAACCAGGCTTTGATATTGGGTGCACAATTCATTAACACACTCGACGACATTTCCAGTATAAGCATCAGAAATACTACATCCATGCTATATATAGGTATGACATTGATAGATAAAAATTCGTTCATTTATTTTGAAAGGCATTTATTGACACGTCTCTAACTAATAGAGCTTCTAATCGACCTCTAATTGACCGATCTTTAAATAACGTTAAAAAAACTTAATTATCGAGTTAGCTTTGAAATTGTTATTTAATTTGTAAAAATAGTTTATTACAAATTCTGATTGTCAAAAAAAATATTATTAAATTATTATATATTTCTTTGGGTGTTATTATTCCCTTCATTTAATGTGAGTTAAAATATTATTTAAAAAAGTTAACCTAATGAAGTTTTGAAAGTGATACAAAAAATTTATTAAATTATATTATAATTTTATTTTTCCTAGATAAATTTCCAAAAAATTCTTTAAAGTACTATAGTGGATTAGTTTAGATATATATATGTGTAAGATTTAAGCAGGTAAGTTACGTTTATAGAGGTTTTTATGATTTGCTATTCTCAACTTTTTATTAAAATTAAGTACAGGCTTACTGACTTGTTTAGTAAGTTCGCAGAATATATATAAAAAAGAATAAATATTAGTAGTAAAAATGACTAAGAATTATTTTCTACAACTTTAAGACATTTTTTTCCAAGTCCAAGTTATGGATCTTATTCTGTAGCAGTTATTCGGTTATTACCTTTTCATTCCAAAAAAAGGTTTTAAATTTTTTCATTGGTTTTTGGTATTGATGCCATTTATGGCATTCTTCCTGTGTTTACTAGTGAGATTCTATTAAAAAAGCGTCAAAATTTTAATTGAATCAGAAATAAAAAGATGGCGCTTCGGGAACTTATTGAACAACCCAGCAAAAAAGAATCGTATTTAAGCGTCGGCGAAGTCAAGCATAACGTTTGTACTTTTAATTACTATCGATAAATCCTATCTAGTCATCAATCAATTTTTAAATATTTTACTTTATTAAGCTTTTCAAAAATGTATTCAATAAGTATTCTAAATTTTTTAGTTAGTTTTAAATTTAATGGTAAAAAAAAATACAGAACATTTTAAAATATTTTTATTAAATATTTAATATTTTGCAAAATTAAAAAAGATAAGAGAGGGTATGAAATGCAACTATCTATTAAATTCATCTTCTTTAATATATACATTCATTTTGATATTATTTTAGTTTTGGATTATATATTTTATACCGACTTTTATCAAAAATCCTGTACAACATTAAATCTGCGCAGGTAAGTTCTTTCTCTTTAAATAAGTCGTTGGTAATTGAAATTAAATTTTCTTTGATCTCAAGTTTGTTGGAAGTTGCTGCTATACAGAGATATATTTTCGATAATTGTTCTTTAAATTGCTATTGAGGATATTGGGATTAACAGTAAGTAGAATCATTAAGTACTTATAGAATTTGAATTATAAGACCTGAGCTACACCTTCATATTTCTTGACAATTTAATACATTTTCGATAATTATTCTTTAAATTGCTTTCGATGATATTAGGAGTAACACTAAGTAGAATCTTCAATAACTGAAAGAACTTTAAATACCAGTATTAAGTCTGTATCTACAAATTTTTGACAATATCGTTGAATCCAATCTCATGCCCAACGGACGATTGGGCTATACAGAAATACATTTTCGATAATTATTCTTTAAATTGCTTTCGGTGATATTGGGAGTAACACTAAGTAGAATCTTCAATAACTGAAAGAACTTGAAATACCAGAATTAAGTCTAAATCTTCAAGTTGTTGACAATTTTTTTGGATCCAGTCTCAAGGTCAACGCACGGTTAAGCACACTTAGTGCCCAGAGGACGACTCTGACTTTAGTCTAACATGTTCAATATAATAACCAACGACTGTTGCTTAATCCGTGTTATGGAAATAAATAGGTGCAACTACACTTCTAATATTTCTATCTGTTGTAGCCAGCGTCTATCGCTTAAACATGAGTTAGGCATCAATTTTTACTTGATGTGCCAATTTTAAAGAGTTAAAGAGTTGATTTGTGGATTTTCTTCACAAATTTTCCCATCTTCTCAAAGAATTGATTTGTAGTTTTTCATAGTAGTAGTATTTAGATAAATTTTTATCTAAAAGTGAACAGCAATTAGTTTTTCGAATTTTCTTATATTAATTTAATACATTAAAGTTTATTAAGAAAACTAGGTATTGACAATAGAGTAATCGAAGTCATTACCCAACTGCTGGTTGATAGGACAATCGCAGGGGGAACGCTAGTAACTAAGAAGGTTAATAGGGGGATCCACAAGGAGGAGTACTTTCTCCCCTCTTATGGCTAACTGCAGTTAACGATTTTCCTGTTGATCTAGATAGCGCAGGTTGTCAGGTTGTCGGGTGCTAAATGTTTGAAAGAAGATGGTCAACAGTAACCAACTGCATAAAAACCAAGGAATTTTGGCCAAAAATAAGTAAAAAAAAGATCGGGGAAATTAATCAACCTATCCCGAGCAAATTTATCCAGGATAATGGGAATTATTACGGGACACTGCCCGTTGGGAGGCAATGCCGTGAGGCTCAACATCAGGACCTCCTTACATTGTAGACATTGTATGGAGGATGATGAAGAGGAATCACCAACACGCCTTCTGCTACAGTGTCCTGCCTTAGCAAGACATAGACTATCCTATTTAGGGTCGCACTTTTTCTATTCACTAAGAGAGCTAGATTCTATTTCCATAGCTCGTGTCAATGGCTTTGTAGCCAATACCAGGAGGTTATAGGGACAGGTGTCAAATTCTTTAGGCTATCACAATGGACCTCATGGTCTAAGTGGGTCTTCGGACGGCCCCAGTAACCTAACCTAACCTAACCTAATACATTAAAAATATATAGGTTTTATTTTACCTAAAATCGGAACCAAATATACAAAGTGTGGAATATAATCTACAAAGTCATTTTAGTAATCCACTAATGGATTTCAAATACGTCATATATACCCCTAATATAAAATGCATTTTGTTATATACATAATATATGCCTTCTAATAATATTTTTTTTTATTTATTAGTCTTGAGTCTATTCCACAGTACCCAAGCTTATACAGATTTTGACTGAGCTTAGGAGAACAGTTGTTTCTTCCAAGAGTGTAATGTTGTACTGTTAACAATAAATAAATCCTAATTTTAAGAGTAAGTAGAATTATATAAACTTTAAAGAACTCTCAAAAATCTAAGATTTATTTAGTAAAATGGCACGTTGTAAGAAAGAAAGGAAGAAAAAATGTGCACGTCCTGGACCGATTACAAACAATCCTTTTTTCAACTTCTTACGCGAAATGCGAAAAAATGGATGCACGACTGATATAATTGAGACTGCCAAGTGTGGTGCCAAATTGTGGAGTAAATTATCCGAGGCTGAGAAGAAGAAATACTGTAGTGAGAACATAAAGGTTTGAGATTTTTTATGTTTTTTTAACACGATAAAAATAAAATATATTCAATATATAAATCACAGAAAAAGAATGCTCAATCTAGTTGTCAAAAACCAGTAAAGAAGCTCAGCTGTGTACAGAAACGACCAAAAAAACGTAAAAATCCTTGTGTAAAACCGAAGAAGAAACCTTCGGCTTGTGCACCAAAGAAGAAGCCAACGAAATTAACATGTCGTCTATCATCGGCACCACGTAAATGCAATGTAAGGAAGAAGAAGAAGAATAAATGCATGAAGATAGGACCTCCAACAAGCAATCCATACTTAAACTACTTACGCTACTTCAAGCAACGTAACTGTGGTTTAAAACCGCGAGAGGTCGTAAAAAGGGCGGCACGTTGCTGGTGCCGTCTTCCACCAGATAAGAAACGTAAATATAAGCTCCAAGTAAGTGGTTTGAAGAAAAATTGTTATCCTTTAAAATAATTAAAAAATGTAATAATATTATGAATAACAATGTGATATTAATTATTTAGGCATGTAAAGTTACAACAAGTGCTCGTCGCAAGGCTACAAAATTGTGTCGTAGCGTTCTTGCGGGTGCTCGTTCTAAAGGACGTAAATGTTAGGTAAATGAAATAATGAAAAATCGTAAAGAAAAGGAAAAAGATATATAAAAAAGTAATTGTGAACAAAATGGACAATACAGAAAAAAATGTTATCCTTTACCCTTATCCCTCCATTACGGATTGGTATTAATAAATAGCATAACCTACTTCCACAAAGAATATCATCCATTATAGTGATAAAAGTCTCTTATTCTAGTTTAAAATTATAATCTGTTAATATCAGAGAGAAAAACATATCAAAATCAAGACAAGAACAGTATACTGTTATATTGTTCTGATATAAATTTGCCGTGAACTCTCTAAATCTTTGAATAATAAACAAAATTATTAAACTAGTATAACTAACTACTATCGTTTTATTAATTTAGCTTATAAAGTAAATGAAATAAATTTTTCAAAGTATAGACGGAACGGTTTACTTCGACCCATTTGTCAGGGAACATTTTCATGGTACAAGAAATGGAAGAAACACTTGTAAAAGAGAAAGGGGAGGGTGTCTAATGTTATTATAGTGCTATGCTATTTTAATATTAAATGAGATGAAAATGGTCGAAAAAAATTTAGTTTGCAACACAACATTCAGTCAGACAACTCGCATATAAAAAAAGTGGTTCAGATAAAGAGCATGTAGTCAGGGGATCTTAAAACTCAAACGTTCTTCGGAATTGAATTGAAAGATTGTGTATACACATATAAACATTTTTTATTATTTGTGTTTAATAAGTTTACGTTTTTTCAATTACTTATCTGAAAGCTTTTTTTACATTTAAATTTTGGCTACGGTCCTAACATAGTTGTTTGCGAATCATATCATATTAATGTCTTCAATAACCAACTATACAAATATGACATTATGAGACATTTTTGAATTTTGTATGGTTAAAATATCTTAAAGAAAATACCATTAATGTTGCAGAATAAATAAATAAGTTTTTGCGAAAACTCATTACTATTAAAAAAAACTTCGTATTAAAAATAAGAATCAATCAAAACTGTATTTTACTAAATTATTTTATATAAGTAAGTGGAGACAGATTCCATCAAGAGTAAGAGTAACTGATATGGTAATAAACTGGAAGGATAGCGTTAAATATCTTCGTATCACGTTGGACAAACGATTCACATGGCTTAAACATGTTCAACTGAAAAGAATTAGCTGTGCCAAAATTCTTCATCACCTTCAACCGCTATTCAAAAATGAAAATCTCAATGCTAAGAACTGGAAACTGATATATAACCAAATAATTCATCCGTCACTTCTATATGGTTGTGTAGCGTTTAGCAAAGCTTCAAACACTACTATTCGCCAGCTAGAAATTGCACAAAACCAGGCTCTGAGAAGACTTTTCAAAGTTCCATGGTATATTAGAACGAATGACATCATCAGGGACCTCAAGATTGATCCCATCAAAAAATACATAAAGGATAGAGCCATGAAATTATTTACGAAAACTGACAGACTTACCAACACCCCGTTATCAACTCTCAAAATGGTTATAGGCTGCTCGGGGAGGTGTGCAGATTTGATGCCAATTATTGCTTAGTCTGATAAAGTGATAAACAATAATTTAGTCAAGGCGTAAAGAGGGGTTTTGAAAATAACTCGAGTTAAGAAAGAGTAAAAGTGCTCAATTGTACTGGCTTAAATAGCTTCAATATAATAATATTCTATATAATTACCGACAGTATAATTAATATATTTTATATTATTTAATAAGGATATTTTATTCCGTGTAGTGTACTATAACACTCCTAATAAAAATTATAGAATTTTCAGCAATCAAAATAAAACACCACTTCACATCAACTGTTCTCTGATTTCAAATCAGACACCTTTATTTCGAGTCATAATTATCACATTAACTGAGACTCCTCGGAAGCAGATAAATGAGTTCATAAAACCAAAACTGCCATAAACGGATTTTATGGCGGCTATGAAATTATAAACTAAACAAAACTTCCTTCAAAAAGTTAAGTGCACCAAACTGAAATCATTTGGTGTAAAGGCAATTTAAATGCAAATAGGATTTTACAATTTAAATTGAGATCGAGGGAACAACGACGACAGCACGGGACACCGGAAGTTACTGAAAATGCAGTTACTATGTTACGGGAATCGTGGCTTCTTGGTCGCTGATTTCAGCAGTAAGGCAAGTTTTGAAAGTGTCATGAAAAACATAAATAAATGGTATAATTTTATGCAACTACAAAAAGTTTAAACAAAAAAAAAAAAACAATATAAAACGAAATATAGTTTTCCTTTTAAGGATAACTATTAAGCCCTAACAGTTAAGTTTACACTTTGTGCTCGACGTTATTTTCGCAATATGCTCGGCTTAATGTGCGCTTTGCCACTACTTTTTTCATGGAATTTTTTTCTATTCTATTTTTATTGGAAGTAAAAATCTGTTGTTGCAATTTATAGCGTTTTTTATTGTTTTATTTTTGTCCTGCTTTATTACGATTCCAAGTAAACTTTGTCGTCCTTTTTCACTGCAATGCATTTGCTGTGCTGCTGATTCAGCTCCTTCACATCTTACCTGTTGCCAAATCTATTCCTCACTTTAATGTCCGAATAGAGCAAGCAAGTGGGTGTGTGAAAGGTCCTTTGCAGTGCTGCTTTCTAACTCTCTTTCAGGTATTTTTTTCAACTATTTTTGTGTTGGAACTATGGTGTGGTGTGGTGTGGTGTTAAGCTCCCGACGAAATGGAGCTCATTTATCACAATTCCTTTTTCATGGTCCATTGCATTCGGTAGCTACAGTGATCACGTGGGCGTTGGAGTCTGTTGACGTACAAAAAGCAGTTACCAAGTGAATTTTAATTGCAGAAGCTTGTCCATTTTTAACTGATTATTTCTTAATTGAAATTTTATACTCTAATTAGTTGCATTTTTGCAGACTTATTTTCGTTGGATGATATTTCACTAAAATTTTAAATTAAAGTATTTTTAGATTAAAAGGTGGATAATTTAAAGTATTTAAATGAATTCGTTGAAGTAGTGTCAAAATATATATTTAATAGGAACAGGTATATTAAGAATTTGCATAATGATTTATTTAAAAAAGTCTTCTTTCTTCTTAGTGTCCGTTTCTTCCTAGTGGGGCATAGAGCCACATTTATTTAAGAAAGTACACTTTAAATAATATTCTATATTTAGAAAGAGTTATCGGAGAGAAAAGAAAGTTGAATCTTATTAGCTCCTGTGTGTTGCATACCAACTAATTGTTTCAAGGAGATATAAATTGTTAAAGATATTACCCTTAATATAATTGTATGTTTATAATTTTTTTCATATAAAAAAGAAAATAATGTTTTTATTAAATTTCACTTCTCTTTAATCACATTACCTCACCATCGGTAATTACCCGATTTTAATTATCCGATAATGTTTATTATCAACTCTATATCACTAGAATTTTAATGCGGAGTGGTCCATTTCAAACTGCCTAATAAAAAGCGATTATTTTCACAAAGTCATTGCATTTTAAAAGCCACAAATACATATTTTCTTTTTATTTTTTACCATAAAAGTCCTTTCGTCATTTTTCAAATAAAAATTCTCCTTAAATGCCAACTCAAGTTGCCACTTTTAGTGAAAAATGACGCTGCGGTAGCACCTTTGGACAGTTAATGGCGTTGGTCTGGTGGTGCTGTATACATAATGCAGTGCAGCATTTGGTGCAGTGGCATAGGTATTCAATGGAAAAGTAAAAAATGCATTCTGCAATGTAATGCAAGTACTTCGTGGGCTTCGTACTCCCACTCCTGCAGTTGCATTGAGTGCTTATGACACATTTACTTTCGGCTTTTCTTTTTCTTTTTTTGTTCCAGTTTTCATTCTTGGGTTATTATTCTTATTCGTGTTTAGCTTGGTCACCTCCGCAATTCATTACTTTTATTCGCTTTTATTTTGCCTTTAACTACTTTGACTTCTGTAGGCGTTGCGGTAGCGTTTTATTACGTTAAGTTTTTCCGCGCTAAATGAATCATTTGAAGGAAGAAAGGATAACGTTACTGCATGGAGTTGGAAAATTTCATGCCGGAAATGAAGTTGACTGCACATAGTAACTTTCTTGAGTGCACTTTCATTTTTCTTAGTCTTTAGTCTACGAGTTCCAAGTCCTCAGTGTTTGGTGTGAAGTCTTGGTGGGTCTGGGAATGTGATGTATGGTGTGTGCTGTAGTGCGTTGCAATGTTGAGGTCTTGCTTTTTTACGCGTATTTTGCACGCTGGTTTTACTTGGAAAAATTGTTGAATGCACCACTGAATGATGTATGAAAAAGTGGGAATTTCTAATGACTCCCATTATATGTGAAAAGTATACGATTAAAATTACTCATGTGTTGATAATTTATATTAAACATTTTGCATTGATTTTGACAAGCTCTTAAACTATTCTCGGTATCGTGAAAAAGTTAAAATTGAGTTTAAAAGAGTTTAATATTTTTCTTGAACGGAAACGTCCATTTGTACACCACTTTAGTTTAGGAATACTTTTTATTTCATACTACATAAAAGTTTATGCAGTTGCAAATACATATTACCAATATTATGTATTCAAAGGATATAGTATATTATCTAAGCATGGTGTCTATATGCTAAAACACTGGGGATACGCCTTAAATTAATATTTTAATAATTTAATTATCAAGTATGAAACTATCGTATGCTGGCTAAAAGATACTCAATTGAGTATCGTATGCTGACAATCAATTGATTGTCTAATTTGGACCAAATCTTGTAATCTAACAATAATCTTCATCCACATAGGCTTTCTCTGTCAATCGTAGATATTCATGTTTAATTGGAAGTTAAGGTGTTGTTAGAGGAAAGCAGTAAATATGAGAGCAGTAAATATTGGAGAGCAGCCTGCTTACTTTGATGGGTTCGTCTGTTTAGCAGTTGGCAGAGATGTCTCTGTATTTAGGTAATGATATGTGCTGAAAACCTTAGTAGCTCATTAAGTACCCCGATACTCTCGATGTATAAAAGAATCAGTATCTAAAAGGATCAACTTAGGACTTGCTTTGTTGTTTAGTGAATTGTTATTACCCTTGTCTATAATTTACTGCAAATGTCAAGAAGTCGAAGTAAGACCCTAATACCTTCAATAATTAAAAAAGATTTCATCGCTGACTCTGTCATTTAGTTTACAGCCATCAGTTCAAGTAAGTGCAAAATAAACTAAAAGCATGAAACCACTTGGAAGTTGGAAGGATTTTCGATATATTATTGCCGATATAGGGCGATGTCGATATACGGGCTTAGTTACTCAATGATCACTTTGCTTTAAGATTGTAAAGGTTGTAAGTTCTTAGTGTTTGGATTGTTTTCTGCAATAT